CCAAAAAAAAAGAATGTAAGACCCATCAAACTGTCAAACGTGAAGGAGAAACTTGGGGTCAATAAGGCTGAAGACACTTTGAGTTTTGTAATGATGAGGTCAGAGGTAACCATGGGAAGTGGAGGGGATGAAAGTCCAGTGCTGGGATCACAGGTAGTTTGTGCCGTTCTCTGTTCAGGCTGCCCATTCATTCCCCTGATGGCCTTTCGAGGTACAGTAGTACAGCTCTCACTGATGGGCTCTCTCCAGGTTTGGAATCAACTGTGTATCTGAGTAAGATGGTGAGCTCTCCAAAGATTGCATAGATCTGCTGATACTGAATTCTGATTTTATACTTCAGAGTTGAGTAGCTCCCCAGTGAGGAGGCAGCCAATGTAGAGTTACATATGGTTCTAAATTCCTTTAGATCACCGAATGCATGAGCCTTCACTGTTGCATTGAATTTTTAATGTAACTTGAGCCAGCCTTCTAGAATTTGCATTCTCTCTGAGGCCTGAACATTTTTCAAGTGAAATATTCTTTAGAATTTCCTAGTGTCTGTTCACTTTATTGGAAGAGTACAACGTGTAGTTCGGAACTTACTCATGTGACATTTTAGGCAGTTTTGGTTTTGCGTCTCGCATCCAAGCCCCAGCAGGACAATGCCTCACTTTAAAAGCCATCGCTATGGCTGTCGAATTTCTCTCTGTGACTGCTATTTCACTAGGAAATCCAGTTCTATTGATAATATTTAACGGTGAATCATATTTGCTCAGATTGGGGCTCTGTGCTGTCGATTGATACTCGTTTCTGGTATAAGCTAAAATTGAGATAGAAACAATCTGCATTCCAGTTTGATCGCTCCTTTTCTGTTAGTGCAGTGGAAGTCTTTATACCACTTCATTTGTCCTTGAAACTGAGTGAAAGAATGGTGATAAAGTGCTTTCTAAGGAATGTGGTATACTTACTATGCCATTTTTGTTCTTAAGAAATAAGTATAGTAGAAGGAGCACTTTCAGCAGCAGCATTCATGGGTGTTCATTCTGACATTAGAGCTAATTTAGCTGTGTGGCCTTGGGCAGATGACTTCACATCTCTTGTCCTTGGGTGTCTCTGTAAAATGAGAGGCCTGGGTTGAGACTTTTGGGTCTTGAGCAGAGTGGTGCTTAAATGGTAAGAGCGCCAGTTTTACAGCATGGGCTTGGCACAGGCCTGAGAGTAAGTATCCATATCCCATCCCAACTGCGAGCACACAGATGATTTTATTTTTGGTTTTTGGTGAGAACGACGCAGTAGGCACCTGCTGTTTCCTCTGTTTCATTCGTTGTCCTTGTCTGTGTGTGTGCTTCTCCTTGTGTGTGAGCACACAGCTTTGTCCTGTGCCCCATTAGGCTCTGTGTTGGTCCCCACACCAGTCTCCTTGCACTTCACTCCTGTATCTTTCCTGTTTAGAGCAGGTGGAGCACCAGCTGGCAGTAGCCTTATGTAGGACCCGTCAAGGAGCCGGATGGTGAGTTCACATGTGTGCTTACCAGCCTCCCAGTGGCTCTGCTGCCCCAGCTCTCGCAGATAGAAACCAGCCAGGCTCCTCTCCCCTTTGTAAAAGTTGGCATTCAGGTTATTTTTGGTTATGGGCTTGTTTTTTATTTTAATTTGATTTTATAGGACAGAAACCAAGTATCAGGAAAAAATGTACTGATTTAAGGAAATGGAGCAGTTTCTACCACCTGTTACTGCAATATTTGGCTCTGTGAGTGACACCAAGCCTACCTCAGTTTGAGTCAGGACACCCGGGTTCTAATTTCTGTTTTGTCATAGGCTGCATAGTCCCTGTGGGGCCCTGGCTTTTGATTTCTCTTGCAAAATAGCAGGTAGGACAAGTGATTTCCATAGCTCCTTTACCTCTAATGTGCGGCCCTAGGTAGCTGGAGTTTTAGGCGCTCTGGTAAAGACAGAGAAAGTCCTTTCCTGCATCAGGTGATCTTCGTCCCACGAGTGACTGATGATGAGATGCCCAATAGATGCAGTTCCGTCATAAACTCCGCCTATCAGTGTTTACTGAAAGGCACTTAGGCAGTAAATTTAATTGTTCCATCCCTTCATTTTTAGAATTGGCTTATCAGTGTTGTTCAGATACATTTTAATTTCCTAATAAATGTATAAACTGTAGAGCCCCCTATGTCTTTAGTGACCCATAATTGGTTTAGCCCAGTGGTTCTTAACCTGGGGAGCAACCACCACCACCACCTTCTAGGGATATTTGGCTACATCTGGAGACTTTTGCTTGTCACAACTAGAAGGGCAGTGGTGACATTGGCAATTTGTAGGTGGAGGTAAATGATGCTGCTAAGCATCCTCCAATGCTGTGGACAGCCCAACAAGTGTCGCTTGTGCTGCAGTTGAGATGCTGGTAACCAGCCTGTAGCAGCTTATGGTGGGATGCTCCTGAGCCCTGTGGACAGGATGCAGATGCAGGCATCAGGGTTGCCTGGGTATGGATTTGAAAGAGCACACCTGGGGGCAGGAGGGATACTTCTCACTGGTTAGGTTTGGAGAGTCCAAAAGTAGATATTGGACATTGAGTATCAGCTAGGCATTCTCATACTTTAGGCAGAGAATAAAACTTCAGGTAGTATTTTACCTCTTAGTTATGTGATCCCATTCTGAGCACATTTTAATGAATGGTATTATTAAAGTTGTACTTTATTATGATATAAATCTAGAAATCTCACTTAGTACTTTGCTCACATATAGGCCACTTTACTTTTTTTGTACAACCGGCTAACTAGCCTCTATAGTGCTTGAGAGGTTGCAGAAAATCTTTGAATTGCTTTTCCAAGTGATTGTATTACAACAACACCTGTATTTATATTAAATCTTACAGTGTGGTTTTTTAATGCATGTAAGTTTCACGCATAAGAGGGAAGGTTTATAACATACTTCCATATATATGTATTTTGAAAGTTCATACCTGTAGAGAGTAGCAAGTAAGAGGTCAGTAAAAAAGGGTCAGATTCCTTGGCCTGTTCAGAGTACATGAGGTGGTACTGATGTTTTATAACAAAGTTGTGGTTTTTGATCCAGGAAAAAACTTCTCTGAATATAAGCTCTGAATTAAGTGTCTTGAGGGCACTGGAGCCCTGACATGGGTCTTATGAGACATGACGTGCAGAACTAGAGCAGTTACTGTCAATAGCCAGTCACTGGTATTTGCATTGTTTGCTGCCGGTAATCTGATATGGACTGGGCATGTGTCATCATGAGGATAAGAAAACCAGTTGAAAGGTTAGAATCCAGATTCCCTTAAGCACAACTGGATTCCTCAGGAGCCTTTGTCATCATCAGATTTACGCCCATGCTGTTGACGGGAGAAAGACTTGAAAGGGGAGGTGAATTCTTGCAGTGTGACGTGTTTTCATAGCCTCGCCTCTTGCAGAGGGGATGGGTTTATAATCCCTCCACCTGGACACCTGTATCTACCTGCTCCACGGAGCCTCTACTTCTGTTCCCACCGGGATGTGGTTCCAGTGAAGGCCTGAGGCCATTGTAGCTGCCTCTGGAAATAAACAGTTGACGTGTTTTCAGAAGTTGTTTGAGTGCACGAGCTCTTACATAGGTGCAGAAGACTTCCGATACCTTACTGAAGAATGAGGGATTTAAAATGGTACTTAAGACTAACATTAAATGGCTGATTATTATTTTATACTTTTTTCTTGTTGAAGTTCTTAAATATTTCTCAGAATCCAGTGGTGTTTTTTAGGATTAATACTTGGTTCGTATTGTATTTGATGTTTCTATTTGTAATCGTTACGATCTCTGCAATGATGATATTTTGTGTCTCTGATCTTAATTTTCATCTGTTACCTACATTTTAGTTAATTATGCTCCTCTGTAGTGATTCTCTGTTGTGGAGAATACCATTTTCCAGAAACTGCTGGTGGTTTCTAGTTTGTCATTCTACACATTCAGAGATCAAGGTGGCTGCTTGTTGCGAAAGAGAAAGGACAGCTGGAGGCTGTAATGCAGCCGGGTTCAGGAGCGCATTGCAGGGAGAGAAGGAACTGGTTTGGGGAAGGTGCTAGGACCTCTTCTGAATCTGAAAACTGAAAAATAAAAGCGACCAGGCATAACAAACTCAGAATTTAAAAAATGGCAAAGAAGGGTCGCAAATTCTGGTTAAATCCTAAGGAGACCGAGCTTTTGGACCTCCAGTACTGTTAACTTCTGTCGAGAATTGCTTATCTTACTGAGCGTCTTGGTGACTTGAGTTCACTGTTCCAGCTTGTCAGAAATGTGCTACATTTTCATCTTATCTTCTGAACTGTGGTATCACTTGGAATTCAGTTAATGTTGCCTGAGTTCCAGCCTCCGAATTGTTAATGAAATGTCAAATTGTTCTGGACCCAAGTCGAGTCCCTCGGCCCCCGGCGCCGTGCGGCCTGCAGTGAACTGTTCATAGTTCCTCTGCTTGGTGTTGAACCATCGTGCATGTGTGTCCCTGCCCCTTACGTTGTGTATGGTAGTAAACTTGGTGCTATCGTCTGATTTTCTGTGACATCAATATTAACTTTTTAGAATGTATTATTAGTTTGATAGCTGTTAGAGCTATGAGGGAACTAATGCCCAAGATACTAAAAAATACAGGATTTATGGTTTTCTTTTTTCTCTGACATGACTTGAAAGTATTTGTATTTGTCATCTGTTCCTTTCTTTAGGAACTGAAGTGATAGTTGCCTAGAATAGACAGTTTGCTATGATTGGATTAGTAATTGTCTTCTTCAAGATTTCAGGGTAATAGTAAATGAATGAATGGATGAATGAACAAATAAATAAATAAATAATGTGTTTCAGGGAAGAAAAAACCCCAGGAAAATAAAAACAAAGGAAACAAAACTGAAGACATACAACTGAAGACAAGTGAACCAGATTCCACCTCTGCAAACATGAGAGATTCCGCAGAAGGTAAGCTGGGGTATTGGGTTTGTGTGGCCTGGGTGCGTATCACCAGTTACTGTAATGTTGTATTTCCTTGACATGCCCGTCTGAGAATCATTCAAGAACTGTAAAGGGTTTAAACAGCAAGAAGGCCCCCTGCAAGCCCTCCATATACCTCCCTTTCAAAAATTTATTAAAGACCTTCCTTGTTAAAAATGAAATCATGCTCTGGTTAAAATAAAATGAAACGTTCTATGTGATAGCATTTGTAAATAATTTACAAAGTTCAAAACCATCAAAAAAATTTATGGTGACAGAAGTCAGACTGACAGGGACAGACTGGGGGCCAGTACTAGCCCATCATTGATCTCTTGGGTGGGTATGCTGGTGTATTTACCTCGTAAACATTTTATCTTGCTCTGTACTTATGATTTATATACTTTAGGTATGTTTTGCAGTTCAGTTAAAAAATTACTTAAAATATCAAACACCCTCGATTTTATATATCAGAATGAAAAATGTACAGAATGAAAGTGTTTGTTAGAATTTAAATTCCTTTTTTATCTCGTGTTTCTTCCCACTAAACTTTCTTTTTTATGGTTTCTTCTGAGGATTAATATTCTAGCCCTCCATGCTGTAAGAATTCAGAGGGGCATGGATTGAAAGCTAATCAGGAAGGCAGATTGCTCAGTTGAACCACCATATTGAGACTGTTGCTGTTAGAAAGGAGGCAGCTATGTCTTAATTTGTTACGTGGCCACTTTATGCAAAGACCGGAGCTTGCTCAAAAGTTGTTCATAATGACCCAAATAGGCAAATTTCAAAATGTGGGCTTGTGACTCTTTCAAGAAACATTTGTAGAGGGGAAAAACCAAAAAAATACTTTTTATTCCTTTTAAGCCATTTTATTAGCACTGTTTGTGGTGATGACATTCATAAAGGATCGTGATTTCCTGTAGCATTTTATGAAGCAAGAATGGACAAGTTTATTTCCCAGAGCCTTTTAAAACTAAGTTCTGCTGCTGATAGCAGATTTGCTAAGACAGTTGAACAACAACAAAAATGCTAAAGAACCTCCTCACTACCTTTAGTGGCAGAATTAAAAAAGAAAATCCAGCAGTCCCCTCCCCTTAAAAAATTCAAGACAGTTAATTTTTTCCTGTCTATATAACATCAGGCCCCATGCAAAAAGATGCTTAATATTTACCTTCTTGTGGGATAACTGGTTGAAGTGTGATTGGTTCTGTACAGTGTAGTCATTGGCCTCTCCTGAATGTTCTGTGTGTCCTTAAAAAGTGGTCTGAGCAAACGGTCCAGTCTCATCCTGTGTTCCCCAGACCCCCCTTTAGGTGCAAAATTCAGCGACCTCAGGGAGTGTGGGGACACGCTTTGGTGTGGGCCTTACCAGTGAGCAGAGCTATGCATGTTTTGGTTCATATTACTTTGGGGAGTTTTAAATCTGGAATTGTTTACCAGTCATAGAGAAATAAAAGAATTTTTTTTTTAGTTCATTAAAAGAAGCCACAGATTTTGGCCAAAAATGAACTCTATAAAGAGATGTTTGCGCTTTAGGGGTGGTATTTTCTTTTTCTATTGTCTCATTCCAGCCTTATTTTTAGCAACATGGTGGGCCTGTGTTGAACATGTAGCATTTGAAAAGGGAGTTAGCTCCTAAATTGAAATAAATTTCCACCATCAAATAATGGGTTTTGCAGTTTGTGGAAAACTCAGGGAATTTATGAAATTTGTCGGGGGAGAGAAGGCTGGTTTCTGTTTAGAGGCAGAAGCCTCAGTGTTAGTAAATGCAGTAGCAGACGGGTCAGAGTGAGGCTGATGCTCCTTGGAAGCAGCAGGGTGGTGAGGCTGAACAGCTGAGTTTGTACGGTGCGTTTGCAGAGCTTGATCAGTTGGCCTTTTCAGCCCCTCACCCTCCTCTGTATCCAGGGAGTCCAGAGGTCTGTGCCAGGCCTCTTCTGGCTCGACAGTCTAGCCACTTTTTTCTGCCCCCACGGCCTCTTTCTATCTCCGTCTCTCGGTGTAGGCAGCCACCATCTTCCTTCTAATACCACTGCATCGGTATTGGTGATCTGCTCAAAGTAATGTCTCTTCCCAGTCCCCCAACCCACATCGCAGCCAGATCTCCCAAATGGTATTCTCCTGCTTTAAAATATCTTAGTGGATCCCCATTTCCCCCTGCAAGTCCAGGGTAATTCATGGTGTGCTGCTTGTGTCGATTCTTCCTGTTACTTTCCTCTTGTGTCCTTGACCTTCAGGTTCAGCCTGCTCAGTACTTTATCCAAGAAGCCTTCCCCGATTCACTAAGCCAGGTGTTCCTCCCGTGTGCCTCTGAAGCATCACACACTTGCACAGCGTAACCTTTAGTCTGAGTGTTGCTGCTTGTATGTAGCTCCGATGAAAGTGAGGCTCTAGAAGGATGAGGAGCTTGACAGTCTTGTTCACCTAGTACTGGCATATAGTAAATATTTGTCCAGCGAGTGGGGGCAGAGCCGGTTAACAGAGCCAGGAGGTCCCAGCAGCTCTGCCTCGCCTGCAGAGCCGTCCTGACTCCTCCAGTGTGGACAGCACGAGGACCCTAGTTCAGCAGGTACAGGTGGTGCTGTGAAGGACCTCAGAACGTCAGCATTAAGTGCACTGCGACAGCTCCCGTCTTAGAGTCCCACTCACTCTCCCTGTGTTTTCTCCCAAGCACTGTCCCATTTCTCTGCCTTTCTTTGTAGCTAAACTGGAAAAAGTTGCTTATAGTCTCCATCCCTCCCCCTTCTGATATTCTCTTGGAAACTCCATTAGGCATTTGTCCCCTTGGCTACACCAAAACTCTTGTCGTGGTCACCATACCTCCACCTTGGTGCATGGGCTGCTCCGTTCCTGTCCTCCCCTTCCCCATCCCGTCTGCAGTTCCGGGCGCAGCTGCTCGCTCCCTCCTCGACACTTTGTTTACTTAGCCTAGGGCCACCACTCTCTCGGCTGCCTCACTGGTCACTGGTCCCACCTGAGTCCTGGAGTCATGGGAGATGTTCTTCCACCTCTCTTGTCTGCATTCACTCTCCAGGTGACCTCGTCCGGTCCCATGCTCCAGATACCATTTTGAATCTGAGGATTTGTACAGTTCTAGGCTCAGCCTCTTTGTTGGACTCAGGTCATCTATAACTAAGTACTTAACATCTTTACGGGATATCTGTTGGGTACCTCAAAGTTTAGCACATCAAAGTAAACTCGATTTTCCTCCAACACATGCTCACGCAGCCCAGGTCTGCTCTTCCCTTTGTTTTCTGCTGCTTAGCAAACAGGATTATTACGGCTGCTGCAGGACCCTCCTTGACATTTCTCTCACCACAGCCAGTCAGCAAGCGCATGTCAGCTTGTCTCCAAAATATATCCCGAGTCTGACCATTCCCACCACCTCCCCATGTCTCCCTACCCCGCCCCTCTCCTGCCTCCATCCTTACCCACCTAGAGTTTTCTGTCTTCCTGGTAGCAGCTGGAGTGATTCTCTTGAATACGAGTGAGTTGTATCATATTTCTGTTAGAACTTTCTGGTAGCTCCCTGTTTCACTCCGAATGAAGGCAGCCTGCCAAGTCCTATGTGAGCTGGCCTCTCTGATCTCCTCTCCTGCTCTCCAGCCTTCCTCCGGTCCCTCCCCCACCAACAGCCTTTCCAGATTCCTTGCTATTCCTCGAACACATCTAACAAGTTCTTGACTCAGAACTTGTTTACTCTATCCAGAGGGCTCTCCTTCCCTGACCACCGAGGTTTCTTCTGGGCATTGAGACACCTGAGCTGCTAATAATTTGATCAGAGTTGGAAGAGATGATCCCTAGGGTTCCTTTTACTTGAAAAAATTCTGATCACATAATTCTGGAAAATGTTGTAGCTTCTAAATATGTAAATTTAGTCTGGAAGGAGGGAGAGAATCATTCAAGAAAGATCACTAAGACTCTAACCTGGTAAGTAACATTTAGCAATTTTCTTATTTCAGTTTGGAATCATGAGAAATTGGAATTCACAGCTAGTCAGTCTCCTGAAATTCAGTATCTGCTACTGCAACACAATTTTAAGCACTACAGTTTCTGGGAATAAAAATGCATTAGATTCTTCTCTGTGTATATCACACTCCAAGTGACTCTGTTCGTGTCTGTCTCTTCAGGCCCAGCGCGTTGCCAGGTTAGTAGCAGGTGCCCTGTCAATATCAGCTGGGCCCAGATCCCGCACAGCTTTATAAATGAGAGCGTAGAGCTGTCTGTTGTCCATCGTAACGCCTTACGCATTTTCGGTGTTCAGAGAAATGACGTGAATAATAAGAAGGGACCCTAAAGCAGCTAGTTTTGCCCTCACCTCCGTGCCTCTACCTCCCTGTGCTCCAGGTGCCAGAGAGCAGAACGAGAAGCCCCCCGCATCCCTCGAGCAGACGGCTGTTCCCCAGGAGGCGGCTGCTCAGGACGCACTTCCAGAACTAGCGACCCTGCCACCTGCCTGCGAGCCGCAGACGGGACCCGCTGAGAAGCTGGAGGCCACAAGCTGCGAGGGGAGCACCCTGGAAGAGGGGCCTGAAGAGGAGGAGGAGGAGGAGCTGGAAGACGAGGGGGAGGAGGAAGCCGACACACCCGACGGAAGCTCCGCGAAAGAGCCGGAAATACGGTGCGATGAGAAGCTAGAAGATTTATTAGAAGAACCAAAAGATATTTCAAAAGAAACTCTCGAGGACTCGCCAGTGGTAACACTTGTTACTGAAATCCCCAAAACTAAGGAAGAGGCCAATGGTGATGTATTTGAAACATTGATGTTTCCGTGTCAGCATTGTGAAAGGAAGTTTACGACCAAACAGGGGCTGGAGCGTCACATGCACATCCACATCTCGACAGTGAACCATGCCTTCAAATGCAAGTACTGTGGGAAAGCGTTCGGCACCCAGATCAACAGGCGGAGGCATGAGCGTCGCCATGAGGCGGGCTTAAAGCGGAAGCCCAGCCTAACACTACAGCCGTCAGAAGGCCCAGCTGATGGCAAAGCATCTGGAGACAGTGTCTCTCCAAAAGACGACTCAAACTCTCCCAGTCTTGGGCAAGACTGTCTGTCCTTGAGTACGGAGAAAGCTTCCCAAGAAACAGTAAACTCTTCTGTTGTAGAAGAGAATGGAGAGGTTAAAGAGCTTCATCCATGCAAATACTGTAAGAAGGTGTTTGGAACTCATACTAATATGAGACGGCATCAGCGTCGAGTTCACGAACGCCATCTGATTCCCAAAGGTGTGCGGAGAAAAGGCGGCCTCCTGGGGGAGCCGCAGCCACCAGCCGAGCAGGCCCAGCCTGCCCAGAATGTCTACGTGCCCAGCACAGAACCAGAGGAGGAGGGGGAGGCAGACGATGTCTACATCATGGACATTTCCAGCAATATCTCGGAGAACTTAAATTACTACATTGATGGTAAAATTCAGACCAGCAGCAGCACTAGTAACTGTGACGTGATTGAGATGGAGTCCAGTTCAGCGGACTTGTATGGCATAAACTGTCTGCTTACTCCAGTCACAGTGGAAATTACTCAAAATATCAAGGCCACACAGGTCCCCATAGCAGACGATCTTCCTAAAGAGCCTTCCAGCAGCACAAACAGTGAGTCCAAGAAACGGAGAACTGCTAGTCCTCCTGTGTTCCCCAAGATCAAAGCTGAAGCGGAGTCTGAGCCCATAGCACCCTCGTGCTCCCTAAGCCTGCCTCTTAGCATATCCACCTCAGAGGCAGGGACTTTCCACAAAGAGAAGGGCGTGTACTTGTCATCAAAACTCAAGCAGCTTCTTCAAACCCAGGACAAACTGACTCCTTCCGCCGGGATTGCAGCAGCAGAGGTCCCTAAGTTAGGTCCTGTCTGTGTGTCTGCTCCTGCGTCCATGCTGCCCGTGACCTCGAGTAGGTTTAAGCGACGGACCAGCTCCCCTCCCAGTTCTCCCCAGCACAGCCCTGCCCTTCGAGACTTCGGGAAGCAAAGCGATGGTAAAGCAGTGTGGACTGATACAGTTCTGAGCTCCAAAAAGCCCAAGTTAGAAAGTCATAGCAACTCCCCGGCCTGGAGTTTGTCTGGGAGAGATGAGAGGGAAGCCGTGAGCCCACCATGCTTTGACGAATTCAAGGCGTCCAAAGAGTGGGCCGCCACTCCCACTTTCAGCACTGTGTGCAACCAGCAGCCGCTGGATTTGTCCAGCGGAGTCAAGCAGAAGGCTGAGGGTACCAGCAAGCCTCCTGTGCAGTGGGAGTCTGTGTTAGATCTCAGTGTGCATAAAAAGCCAGGCAGTGACGTGGAAGGCAAAGAATCCAAAGACAGCCATGTGGCGCAGCCAGCCGGCAATGCTGTCAGGAAGAAGAAACCGACCACCTGCGTGCTGCAGAAGGTCCTCCTCAATGAGTACAATGGCGTTGGTGCACCCGTGGGGAACTCGGCCCATGTGGCCAGGAGCCCGAGCCCTTGCAAACCCCTGGATCCCCAGGCAGAGGCTGACTTGGGTCCTGATGCGAGTTTATCTGCCCCTGCTGCTGAGTCCCCACCAGATGTTTCTCCTTCATCTCCGGCCCTCCAGACACCCTCTCTTTCTTCTGGGCAGCTGCCTCCTCTCTTGATGCCAACACACCCCTCGTCCCCTCCGCCCTGTCCTCCTGTGCTGACCGTGGCCACCCCTCCTCCTCCCCTCCTTCCTACTATACCTCTCCCAGCCCCGTCTTCAGGGGCTTCCCCTCGTCCATGCCCCTCCCCACTCTCGAATGCTACCGCACAGTCCCCACTCCCCATTCTTTCTCCCACAGTGTCTCCCCCGCCGTCCCCCATTCCTTCCGAGGAGCCTCTTGTGTCTGCCGCCTCTCCTGGGCCTCCAACCCTCTCGTCTTCCTCTTCCTCTCCCTCCTCCTCCTTCTCCTCCTCCTCCTCCTCCTCCCCCTCCCCGCCACCCCTCTCCGCGGTGTCTTCCGTCGTCTCCTCCGGGGATAATCTGGAAACCTCTCTCCCCGGGATAACCTTCAAGCAGGAGGAACTAGAGAATGAAGAGCTGAAGCCCAGGGGAGAAGCCCAGCCTGCACTGGAGCAGGCTGTTGTTCAGGAAACATTCAACAAGAACTTTGTCTGCAATGTCTGTGAATCACCCTTCCTTTCCATTAAAGATCTAACCAAACATTTATCAGTTCATGCTGAAGAATGGCCCTTCAAATGTGAATTCTGTGTGCAGCTTTTTAAAGCTAAAACTGATTTGTCAGATCATCGCTTTTTGCTTCATGGAGTTGGGAATATCTTTGTGTGTTCAGTTTGTAAAAAAGAATTTGCTTTTTTGTGCAATTTGCAGCAGCACCAGCGAGATCTGCACCCGGATAAGGTGTGCACACACCATGAGTTTGAAAGTGGCACCCTGAGGCCGCAGAACTTCACAGATCCCAGCAAGGCCCACGCAGAGCACATGCACAGTTTGCCAGAAGATCCTTTAGACACGGCGAAAGAGGAGGAGGAGCTAAACGATTCCTCTGAAGAGCTTTACACAACCATAAAAATAATGGCTTCTGGAATAAAGACGAAAGATCCAGATGTTCGATTGGGTCTCAATCAGCATTACCCAAGCTTTAAACCGCCCCCATTTCAGTACCATCACCGAAACCCCATGGGCATCGGGGTGACGGCCACCAGCTTCACCACACACAACATTCCACAGACTTTTAGCACTGCCATTCGCTGTACAAAGTGTGGCAAAGGTGTGGACAACATGCCCGAGTTACACAAACATATCCTGGCGTGTGCTTCCGCCAGCGACAAGAAGAGGTACACCCCTAAAAAAAACCCAGTACCGTTGAAGCAAACTGTGCAACCCAAAAATGGGGTGGTAGTTTTGGAGAACTCTGGGAAAAATGCCTTCAGACGAATGGGACAACCCAAAAGACTGAACTTTAGTGTCGAGCTCAGCAAAATGTCCCCAAATAAGCTCAAATTAAATGCATTGAAGAAAAAAAATCAGCTTGTCCAGAAAGCAATCCTGCAAAAAAACAAATCTGCCAAGCAGAAGGCTGACTTAAAAAGTGCTTCAGAGTCCTCCTCGCACATCTGCCCATACTGCCACAGGGAGTTCACGTACATCGGAAGCCTGAACAAGCACGCTGCTTTCAGCTGCCCCAAAAAACCGCTTTCTCCTTCCAAAAGAAAAGTTTCCCACTCATCCAAGAAAGGTGGGCACGCATCACCTGCAAGTAGTGACAGACACAGCAGCAGCAGCCACCGCAGACGGACTGCGGATGCGGAGATTAAAATGCAAAGCACACAGGCTCCTTTGGGCAAGACCAGAGCCCGCAGCTCAGGCCCCGCACAGGTCCCACTGCCCTCCCCGTCCTTCAGGTCCAAGCAGAATGTCAAATTCACAGCTTCGGGGAAGTCCAGAAAACCAAGCTCCTCTCTAAGGAACTCAAGCCCCATAAGAATGGCCAAAATAACTCACGTTGAGGGGAAAAAACCCAAAGCTGTGGCCAAGAATCATTCTGCTCAGCTTTCGAGCAAGACGGCTCGCAGCCTGCACGTGAGGGTGCAGAAAAGCAAAGCTGTCCTACAAAGCAAATCTGCTCTGGCTGGTAAGAAAAGAACAGACCGGTTCAGTGTAAAGTCTAGAGAACGGAGTGGAGGGCCCGTCACCCGAAGCCTCCAGCTGGCAGCTGCTGCCGACCTGGGCGAAGGCAGGAGAGAGGACAGCAGCGGCAAGCAGGAGCTGAAGGACTTCAGGTAAGCCTGTCTCCCAGGGCCCAGGAGTTCAGGGCTCCAGAGCATGGGGGTGGGGAAGACGGTTGTAAGAAAACAATATACTTGCCCAATGGCTTTTTTTTCTTTTTCCTGTATGATTTGGACATAAGCACTTAAAGTAAATGGTGTTGCTTAAGTTGTAGGCATGTAAAGACAGGTCGCTGCTCTGGCTCCTGCAGAGGTGGAGAGCGCCTAGCTTTATCTCAGACCCAGGACACGCAAGTGTGCCATTTCTTTTAGGGCCAGTGTGAGCTGGGTTCGAACCTCGGAAAGGCTTTCAGAAGTACCCTGTTATGTAAAGGATGAGACTCTCTTAGATGCCCTTCCTACCTTGGGTAATATCTCAGTGTCACTGTGTCATGTCAGGGTCATAGATCGTTTGTCCTGTTAAAATGGATCTCTGAGGTCATTAAAACCACACTGTAATCTCCTTAAAATGTCTGAGTGAAGTGTAGTTATAATAATGGAGAATGCTTCCATTATCTATGCTTTCTCCTATTTTCATTTAAAAAACTTGCCTCATTGGTTAAAGCAAAATACACCATACTCATTTTTAAATGCCTTAAGTCCCCCATCCCCTCTTGTCTCCCTGGCAGAGGGTGATAAACAGGCCAGATCCCAAAGGAGAAGCAGCTAGGAGAGCGCTTAGAGCCCGCTGCGAGGCCAGACCCTGTGACTGCTCCTGGCCCATGGCAAAGCCCCAGGCAAATCAGCCTGGCCTTCCAGTGCCTCTGTTTCCCAGGAATTCATCTTAGATTTGAGGTGATTTTACTGCTTTGTGTCCTCCCTATATTCAGAAGTGTTCTTAGTGACACAAAAACATAGGGCAGTAGTTAAATTTGTTACAATGACTTCTCAAACTTGCTACATTATTTAAATAACCTTGGTTGATGTACTTTCTTGGAATTTTCCTGAAAATTGCCTATAGGTCAAGCTTGTGAAACTCATGATCAAATAGGATTTCTGCAAAATACTTTAAAAACCCTGTCCTTTCAGAGAGCTGCCTGACTTGAGGCTTTCTTGGCCACATCTTTCAGTGTCTGAACCTTCTTTGGTGTTTCAGGCAAGCAGTTAGTTAATGGGGGAGTGGACTGCCGTTTTGAGGTCCTGAGGAACCAAGGGTGCTGTTGTGAGTGCACGGCTGAGGTGGGATTCTGTGGCCAGTGTCCCTGAAGTCATGGCTATAGAATGACCTAGAGACGACTCGGTAGCCAAGGCTGATGGGGATGATTTGCTGTCAGGATAAAGGATCAGATTTTTAAAAAGCTTCTTCAGAAATGCACCAGATAACTAGTTACTGTAGATCTTGTTCAGCATTTGGTCTCTGGCGTGGCATATGCGTAAGCGTCTGTCTCCTAGCCCTTAAAACAGCCTGCCCGTAGCAGGTTACCGGCACCTGTTTGTGCTCTGTGTTCGGGAAGCTCCACAGTAATAGGACTTTCTTGAACTCGAGTCCTTTTCAAGGGTAGAGAGCCAGACTCTGCCCTCATTTTACAGACTGTACTACAAAACGTCGCCCAGGTGGTTGATGCTTTAGAATGTACCGTGGGCACCCCTGTGTGTCCCGTGTTGTCTGAAAGAATCACCTTGTACTGGATCCTGTTTATACAGTTCAAGGGTAAAGTTGATATGAAGAATTACGATACTATAAAGGAAGGTTCATTGAGTAACCTTAATTTATCAGGTTCATTCAGTTAGCCTCTTGCTCATCTAGTGCTTTTTGAAGAACCCTTAAGACCATAAGGGACCAAAGTGCCTAATAAAATTATGTCTCTATTTTCTCCAGTTAATTTTAATTATTTTGCTTTGTTTGATAGTTAACAGAGGGTTACATTGCTCAAGTGGAATTTGGCCTGAAAGGAAACACAGAGAATCAGATAAGAAAACAGTGTTCTAACTGGTAGCTGGCAGCAGCAGGCCTCCACGGTGGCTGTGCCCCCTTTGTGTGTGTCACTGGAACTGCTGTGGACATATCAGAAAGACATGTGTCTCACACAGGGGCCCATTTACAAGGGACCCTAAGTTTGTGCAGTACAGGGCATCAGATTCTGATCATCTGGACACACAGTGGTCATTTCTTCAGGGAGTTTATTGTAGTCTTTCCTAGTACCTTGTAGCCCATTCGGTATAAAACCCAGATTCCTGAACTCAGGCCTGGGGAGTATTGTGAGGGCTGAGAGCAGGTCTCATCCTTGGTGCATACATGTTTTGTTACATGTTGTATTTAATGATAGTCTTCTTCCCTTTTAGTATGTTTCCGTTTGTAAATTCGTTCAGGGATGATCTCCTGGTGCATGGTTAGAAATACTGGCTTTGTCTCTGTTTTTAGGGATGTTGCTTTATTTGCCCAGTTGTGTATTCAGGGACTTCCCACAGCCCTGGCAGCACCTCCTTTCCCGAGAGTTCCTTTGTAAGCATCGGTGCTTAAGCGCCAGCCCCCCGCACGCAGGCCAGTGCAGGATTCCAGTTTTTCAGGCGCACCCTTGAGTTGGCCATGTGCATGAAGGCAGGTTTCCATTTAGCAGAGGCTCAGCAGAACTGGCCAGTGGGTCATTTCCAGGAGCATGAGCCCTGTGCCAACTGGGTGTAAAAAAGACGCAGACTCCGTATCATTTTCTTAGGACAAAGCAGCAAAGGACACTGGGCATGCCTCCCACCTTTAGGTCCTCCAGTTCCAGCCCTTATTCCAGCGTACCCTGAGTTGGGCTCCCCCTCAGTCGGAGCCTACCTGTGGCTTACTGGGGGAATGGATTTAGAGCTCTCGAGGGCTCAGTTATGTCCGTGGGTTAGAAGACAAAAGGGCAAGGAAAGTGATACTCCCCATTCTCTGGTCCATCTTTGGTCTTTGTAAATCCACGGTATTTTTACATTTTTTAATGCTCCTTGTAGAGCAGCTCTTTTAAAAAATGCTGTTTTCCCATTGGAGCTGGTCAAAAACACTTAAAGATGGAGAAGCAAAATGAAATTCCAAGTTTTCCCATTCACCATGAATTATTTTTAAAAATTGATGTTCATTTCCTCCCATATCCATCTCTGCCACACCACCCCAGGTGGGGCTGGGACCTTGCCAGCGCGTGCCTGTTGAGCAGGGCCCCCAAGTTCCTGCACATCTTTAGAGCCCTTCTGTGGCTGTCTTAACACTTGTCATACGGTCTGCTCACCGTCTCTTTAACACGGTCAATTCATATAAGGTTGTGTTACGTTGTCATTTATCTTCAGTTTTCTTATTTTCTAGGAACTTCCTGTAGAAAAACCCCCACACAAAACAAACCTTAATTGACTAAATAAAGGTAATGCATGCTCAACTTAGGATAAGCACTACGACAAAGGACACGAAGTCTGCCAAGCTTGCAAGACCAGCTGAAGCTCTCAAAAATCCTAACACTCAGCTGATTGCCGCAGGCTTCTTGTTGCCCGGGTTAGGCACCCGCCGCTTCGCTGGTGCCTGGCTCGTGCTGGGCCCCCAGTTATTGAGATGCAAGAGGGTGCTGTAAGACGGGCTGGACGGACTGGCTCGCCGTCGCCGTCGCGGGACTGGTAACTCAGATGGGAGTGTGGCCCTGGTTCTTGGCACATAGCAGAGGAAGGAGTGATTTGAACTTAACCTTGCAAAGCAAGTTCTCTGTTTTATCAGTAGGTTATTAATAGATTTCAGGGATGACAAATTCTAATGCACTCGTTTTAAGATGTTTTGGTCACACCAGCTCTTGATGCCTTTCTTTTAAGTTAATTATAGACCGAGAGGCGTTTAGCTTCTCTCTTAGCCTGTTTTTTTACCGCAAGCAGATTGCCTGCGTAATGGAGAGGAAACCAGATTGGATACGACTCCTTTTCTATGCCTCTTCCAGTTCCATGTGTGTCTGTCCAGATGGGCATCCTCTCAAATAATTCTGTGGCACTAATTTATAACTATGTTACTGGAGACTGTGTAGCAATATCCCAATGCCCAGGATGCATCACAGGCCTGTGAAGGTGTGTGTCCGCACGAGAGTAAGAATGAATCTACGTACCAGGTTTACACTTCAGTCTCTGATGGAGATTTTAAAACTTCCGATGGCCTCTTCCTGAGTATGTCGCTTCTCCGTGCATTGTATGTGCTTTCACCCTATAATTACTAGTCGGTGGGAAGTGGCTCGGGTAGTCACAGTTTTTGTTGTTGTTCTCAACTTTAAAAGTCATCTACCTCTTGAAATTTGTAGGCGAAGACTTGTTTGGTGAGTTTGTGCCACTTTAACCCTTTCACTGTCATTCCCATTTTGTTACATTTCTTTTCTGGGGACTTTTTGTGTTGAAATATTGTATAAAGCATTTGTAGCAGTTTAAAAATAAAATATTTAAAATTATTTAAATTGTTTTGGACACTTCAATTGTATTACATGTGATCTGCATTTTACATTTGTTTGAGTTGTTAATCTGGAGAGTTCTTGTACTGGAGCTTCTGTTAGCTATTTTATTGTTTCTTGTTGGAGAGTTATGATATAAAAGACTATTCTAATGAAAACATTAAAATTTACAATTTGACATACAAAAGGGACTGTCTGTTGATTTTAACCAATGTAGCCTTTTAAGAGAGAAAGAGATGGATTGTAGAGAGTTACGAGTGCTGTTTACTATCTGTCCCCTTCCAGCATGAACCGAATCACTTGAGCTTGTCAGATGTACAAAAGTTTTCTATGCTTTTGCTAGCAAGCACTTAATAACTAGGGGAACTTTAAATGATACATTTTATATAATTGTAACCAATAAAAACTTTCTAAAAGCTTGTGAGAGGCCTGCATTTTGTACGTGGTTGGGAGCAGTTAAGGGCAGAACATGAAGAGAGGCAGGTAGGAAAAGCTGTGCCGTGCAGTGCAGTGCGGGGTCCGCCCTGGCGGCCTTTCACGCGTTACTGTTTGGTGTTAACTGAGTATTTGTTATTTCATATTGTTCATGTACCACTCAGAGGGTTCCCATGAAGCTGGACAGTGGTGCTAAGAGGTACCTTGGAGTAAAATAAAGCATTTCACGTGTGGGGCCTCCACTTCCTCTGTGCTTGCTAACAGTTTACTCTCATTTGGGGATTTTTATTGTTAAGGATCCCCAAAAAGTAAACCAAAGAAGTTGGAACATCGGTATTAAGTCTGTATGAGATTGCCGTTTTCTAGAGATTAAAAATGGTCGAACGTCAGCAGCTCCATAAAGTCCCACATGACCTCATGTGGGTTCTCATACTTGACATCTCTGTGTGTCTCCCTCTTAGGGACAGGCCGGGAGCTGACAGGACCGTCAGCATCTCCTGGCCAAACGTCATTTCTGGTTCATGCTGCTCCCACGGTAGAGACCCAGCGGGAGGAGGGGTCGTGCATGGGGGAGTCGAGAGGTCAAAGAGTTACAAAATGGCCTTCAGTATTGCTGGTTTTAACCGCCCTGCCACGCTGAGGGCTGAGCATGCACAGCTCCTGTGACTGCACATCCTGTCCCGCAGGCTCTGGAACGAGGTGGGTTCCATCTTGGCCGCTGCTCACCATTCCTCTCCCTTCCTGTGGGTCAACAGCAGGCATCTAGCAAACGCTCGCCTCGGCCGCGGGCAGGTTATTTCTGGAGCTTAGCTCCCATTCTGCCCAAAGTGGGGAATGGCTAGATGGTTCTGCGTTTTCCTTCTAGAAGGAGGTTTTTTTACTGGGTGTGGAGGCTGCGACTTTGCAGGACTGAGGAGCAGGGCCAGATGTGTCTTGTGTCCCTGGTCCTGCAGCAGAGCCTGACCGAGGCAGCACTCAGGTCTTACACAAGAAGTCACTACCATCTGCTCGGGACGAGCTGCCCCACAGTGGTTGCTTTTACTCTGTATGGAATTAAACGTTTTTTAAAAATTAAAAAAGCTAATAACTGAAGCTTTATGTTCCTGCTGCTATCTCAAGCATCTGTCATGTGTCTGATTACAAGTATGTAGGGTGGCTCTTGTAATGTTTTACAGGGACTTTCTAGCAGGTGTTTTATAGAATCACGTTAACCTATCGAGCACCTGCCATGTCCCAGGCTGTCCCCCAGGTGCTGATATCAGTGGACAAATTCCCGACCCTCACAGAACTTAGATTTGCATGGTGGCCATTTTTCCATTTTTTTGCTTCATGTTCCAAACCTGCTGTTTGGTCACAGTTCCTCCAGAGGTGAGGTTCCTTCCCAGGGGTGCTTCTCGCTGTGTCTGAGTTTGGGTATCGAGGTGACCGCCGACTTTAGTACTTGTGTTCACGTGGCTCTGCTGAAATTACAGCTCATTGGACGCACTTGACATTCTGCTTATGTGGATTTTGACCTGATAGTGAACCTCACTTTGAATAGATGGACATATCCATACCAAGACTCATAAAGGGCAGTTCACCTTGAAAGTGGATGGGAGTACACGTGGGTGAGGGAACCTTGGATATGGAGGCCACTTTAAAGTGCTCCTAAGACCAGGCTGACAGTTAAGGAGAAAGGTTGGCCATTTCTGCCCTGTGTTAGGGGCCCTGCAGCCCCAGCCTCTCTTCGCCCTGGGGCACCAACTCTGCCGCTGTTGCTTCAGGGTCTGATCTCAGCTAGGTCCTGGTCAGGCACTACAAAGGGTGCACTTGGGCGGCAGGAGTGGATGAGCCATTCC